GGGGGGGAGGGGGGGGGGGGGGGGGCGGGGGGGGGGGGGGGGGGGGGGGAGGGGGGGGGGGGGGCTGGGGGGGGGGGGGGGGGGGGGGGGGGAGGGGGGAAGGAGAGGAGGTAGAGGGCTATGAAGAAGATTTCGTTGAGGGCGCAGAAGAGGAAGAGGACCGTCTGGAAGGGGGGGTGGGGTTAGCGGGGAGTTCATGATGTGGTGGTTTTGGGGGAGAATGGGGGAAGTACCTTGTTCGTGTAGTAAAGGTTCAGGATGTAGCTACGGCTACGATCGACCTTCTTGTGACTCTCTCCCGATCCACCCATCACGAGCGTAGCGTACATATGCATGTAATGGCTCGCGAGATCCAAAGAGATAAGACCCTGAAACACGATCGACCAGCGCGGGAACGCGGAGGCGAGGAAAACAAGCAGACACGCCGTCGTGCAGCGATCAGTCACCATATCCAGAACAGCGCCGAAGCGGGTGGACTGGCTGAAGTAGCGCGCGGCGTAGCCGTCGAGGGCGTCGAGGAGACACGACACGCTGTAGAGGATTGTGCAGGTTCGGGGGTGGAGAGGCATGTAGTAGAGCGAGCCGAGGGCGAGGACGATGCGCACGTAGCCTGGGGATTGTTGTTAGGTTCTGCGCGGTAGGATATCGATAGAGGATGGGATAAGTGGAAGACTTACCGATGATATTCGGCCAGAAGAGAAAAATGTTCTCGTAAGGGTGCTCCTCCTTGCTGCCTGCGGCGGCGGCGCCCGTGCCATTCAGGAGAGGCTGCTCGGCGCTCACCTTGTCCTTGGGAGCGGGTGAGCGCGAGGAGCCCTTTCGCGTGGGCGACTTCTTGCGGGATGCTTTGTTGCTGGACATTTTGCTGTTGGTGGTTGAGGGGGATTCGAGGTTGTTCAGGAGAAGGAGATGGATTTTTCCCTTGTTATTTAGGGCTGACGTTTCACGCCGGGCGACTCGGATGGGCGACGGAAAAGTTGTTGAAACTCTAGGAGAGAGAGGAGTGTAGTCTGTAGGGTAGGTGACTCTCTGGCGAGATGGCCGGTTGGAGTCGTCGATGGTTTTAAAGGAGATAAGGAGTGTAGGAGAATGAGAAGGATGTGTGTTTGGGGGTAGAAGGGGAGCTTTTGAGATTTGAACGGGCGCGATAAGGGAGTTAGTTATATTGGGTCCAAAGGTGGATTTGCGTGCTGCAACATACGTACTCGAGTACATATGCCCCCTGTTGATCGGTGACGCAACGCAGGATTGGGGA